ACTTTTTGCAAACCTTTAGAGGTGTTTAGTTGTTTACAACTTCCTCATTTATGAAAGAAGTTTTAAACCTTGGTTTTTCAAAAGTATTATAATCCCCTTATCAAAGGGGTTTTTGATACTTTATTAGGAAGATAAATGATAATCTCACGTAGCGTTTGGTTTAAGGAATTTTTAATACCGAAAAGATAAGATTACCACTAAAATAGATAACCTTAAGGGGGCGTTTGGTTAGGGGTTATGTGGAATTACTAGGGTAATGTCATCTTATATTACTTGATTACCATGTTTAGTTGTCAAGTAATATAAGATACCGATAATCTTTAAATACCAATAGTGGTTATTATTGGTAATATCGGAGGTAATCTGATTACCTCCATTTTCTTAGGTATTCTGAGATTACCAGGGTTATCTTTTTTTGTTACAATTTTATCCCTTATTAATAAAAATTTTGGACAATAATACCCCTACTTTAAAAAAAATTTAAATTAATATCCTATTCCAATTTTACCCTTGTTTAATTAAAATTTTGGACAATAATGCCCTTATATTTAAAATAATTTACAGATCACCACTGCCAGCCAGCCACCACCACCACTGCCACCCAGCCACCACCGTCGACAACGGGCCAACCACCATGGGCTGCATCACCGGAGTCTCTAAAAAAGAACGAGATTCGGTGGGAGGCTTCGATATGGTCGTTTCCGGCCATATTGATGGCCGAAAACAGTCATATCAAGCCAGATCTAGCCACTAACGACCAGGTCCCTGGCCATTATCAGCCAGATCTGGACGAGATCTGGCCGGAATAGATCTGGCCGCTAACGGCCAGGTCCATGGCCGTTAGCGGCCAAATCCATCGATCTGGCTGGAAATGGCCAGAATAAATCTAGCCATTTTCTGCCAGATCTGGCCTGATATGGCCGTTTTCGGCCATTAATATGGCTAGCAATGGCCATATCGAAGCCTCTTGGTCACGGTCAGCTATTGATGGGGACTTTTGGAGACTTCCGGCGGTAGTCTAAGGCGGCGGCAGGTGGTGGGGGTGATTTTGTAATAAATTAAAGTTTTATATAAGCGGGGTGTTTTAACTAAATCTGAAATATTGAGGGTTAAAAGAAATTATTCAAAAATTAATAATAAAAATAATATTATATTAATATTTGAAAAGGGGACAATTTGGTAATTTAGATAACATACCCACCATTTTATTCCCCATAACCAAACATATTAATATAACATATCTACCAACTAACCAAAGACATTTTTCTAAAGATTCCTAGTAATTTTCCAAGGTAATCTATCTTTCCAGTAATCCAACATTCCTAGTAATCTAACATTCCTGAACCAAACGCCCCCTGAAGATTAATGGGGAAATGTTATATTATTATGCTTGTTCAGATTGGTGAGTATAAATAATTAATATGTTTGGTTGATTATTAGAGGGGTTTTTACTGAATTACCCTTCCTTTTTAATATAATTATTATTATTTAGAGCATTATTTTAACTCCCTACATTTGAGAATTTAGCTAAAACACCCCAACCAATAGCAAAACTTTAAAATTTAACAAAATACATCTAACCACCCAAGACAAATGTTGGCTGCCAGTCATCACCACCGGCCGCCGCTAACAGTAGTCAAAACGACGCACGATCAACCGAATCTAGTAAAAAATGGCCAAATCTAAGGTCGGTAACGGTGGACAAAAATACCTGCAAACCAAACCGAATAGAGTAATGCTTCCTTTACACCACCCTTTACACCATTTTCATTACATCATGATGTGGCATATGCCACATCTACATAAATTTTTAATTATTTTGAATTTTTAATATTATAATGGAATTATTATTAGTAAAATGGTCACGGTGTAAAGGGTGGTGTAAAGGTATCATTACTCAATCAAATATGGTAACCAACCAAACCATACCGAATTTTTCGGGTATCTGAAAAACTAGGTCGGGTTCGGGTAGTATTTAAGTAGGTACCCGATTTTTTGGTTCAGTTACTTGGTTATATTTAAAATATAAATTGGGTACCCGAAACCCGTTAAAAAAAAAAAAAATGGAGTAAAACGTAAAAATGTAAAATCCCAAATCAATTTGCCCTAAACCCAAATAACTTCCTTCTTCGTTTTTCCATTTCTCCCTTTCTCTACATTTCTCTAGTCGCAACTTCTACTATTTCTCTTCATTTATCATTTTCTCTCCATTGACTTTTCCACTAATCTCCCCATTTCTCTATTCTCTCCAGTCTCCACTAGTCCACTGATTTCTCGTATCTTCTTCTTAATTTCTCCATTTAGCTTGCATCAAATCTGTTCTCTCCAGTCTCCACTACTTGCATCAATTCTTTATTTCTCCATTTCTCTCTACCGATTGCTCCACTTCTCTAGTTCCCAAAAGGTATTTGATAATTATCTGTATCGGGCTCTTTTTATTGTGAAGAATTATTTCTATATTTTTTAACTCAACTGGTTCAGTAACTTTTCAATGTTTATGTTGTTTTTGTCTTTTTGATAGTTTTGGCAAAGAAATATTACAATTTTTGTTTAGATGCAATATTGCATAACCAAACTGAAAATTCGGATACTCACATGTTCAGGTAATGCATAAATCGGTTCGATTACCAGGTACCATTTTTACACTATCCGAATATTCGGGTCGGGTAGTAAAAGGGCATATTCGGGTTGGATGCCCGGTTTTGTCCTCCCCTAAAGATCGAAAATGGTAAGATCCATTCTGGCCATTAATGATCGTGGATCTGACCGAAAACGGCCAGATTTGTGGACCTTCATTTGTACTCATTAACTTTAGGGGGCTCTTATGGGTGCGTTTGGTTTAATATTTCTATTTTCTACCCATATTCTCAATCATATTCTTCAAATATTGTTTGGCACATTATTCCAGAAATATTACTATATTTTTTTATTACTTTTAGACCCCTTAATTTTATTAATTTCATTAAATACCCCCAAAAAAGTTTAAAAATTAACAAAAACACCCACATCAACCCATACTTGCCAGATTCCGGCAACCGCCATCGGTGGTGGCTGGAATCTGTACAACGGCCTATACCACGACAGCCACTGGCCGGTAGTTCACTGATCTGGCCTTTTCCAGTCAGATCCACAACGGCCTATACCACAACAGTCACTGGCCGGTAGTTCACCGATCTGGTGGATCTGGCTGGAAAAGGCCAGATCTGGCAATCAGCGACGGCCAAAGAAATGCCCGTCGTTGACAGAAAACGATGGTCATATCTTTGGCCGCCGCTAACGGCCAAAGATGGCCGTCGTTTTGGCCTTTTTTGATCGTCGACGACCACATCAGGCCGTAGATCTGGCCTTGTCCGGCCAGATCCGTGGTAGATTTGGCCGAAAAATGCCATAACGACGCGTTACGACACATATCCGACCGGTCTATGTCGTAAAGTAATTTTTCAGCCAGATTCCAACGGTGGTGGCTGAAATCTAGCACTGCAGGTGATGGGGGTGTGTTTATTATTTTATATGTTGGGGTGTTTAATTAAATTAGTAAACTTAGGAGCTTTTTTGTAAATTTTACCTCGTAATACTCTCATACTCAATTATCCAATATTATTCTCAAAATCCAATCCAAAATAATAAATCAAACGCTATTGTTCTTCTGTTGACTAGTCTTTGATTCTAAATTGCTACCGTTGGGAATCCTTGGGTGCGTTTGGTTTAATATTTCTACTCATATTCCCAATCATATTCTCTAAATATTGTTTGGCATATTATTCCAGAAATATTACTATATTTTTTAATTACTTTTAGACCCCTTAAGTTTATTAATTTCAATAAATACTGCCAGAAAAAAATTTATAAATTAACAAAAACACCCCCATCAACCCATACTTGCCAGATTCTAGCAACCACCGTCGGTGGTAGCCGGAATCTATACAACGGCCTACACCACCGCCATAACTGGCCGGTAGTTCACCAATCTGGCCGTTGTTGACGGTCAACAACGGCCATATCTTTGGCCATCGCTGACGACTAAAGATGGACTTTTTTGGCCTTTTTCGGCCGTTGACGGCAACATTTAGCCATAGATATGACCTTTTCTAACTAGATCCGTAGTGGATCAAGCCGGAAATGGCCATAGCGACACGTTGTGACACAGATCCGACCGATCTATGTCGTAACGAAATTTTTCAGTCAGATTCCGACGGTGGTGGCCTGAATCTGACACTGTGGGTGGTGAGGATGTTTTTGCCATTTTATATATTAGGGTGTTTAATCAAATTAGCAAACCTATGGGCTTTTTCATAAATTTTTAAATTTTACCTCGTAATACTCCCTATCCAACTACCCAATATTATTTCCAAAATCTTATCCAAAATAATGAACCAAACGCACCCCTTGCTATCCGATTGTGTTTGATTGATTTACTAATTCAATTTTATTTAAATAAATATTATTTTAATAAAAAGGTTACCAATATTTATTAGTGGGGTACACGCGAAAGTCCAAAATAAGAAAATTATTTTCACACTACTTTTGTTTTTTTATAGGCAATAAAATTGTTTTGTTCTTATTTTGAAATCTGATGCATCTTAATTTGTAATTTTTATTCATAATTTTACTTTGACTTAATAAACGATACAAAAACTAAAAGATGAATAAGACAGTTTTTCATCAAACATAAAAACCTTGAACCTATTCAAAAGAAATAACTCTTCTAAAATCCATTATAAACCTCTAACATGACACCGCTTCAAATACATCAAAACCCTTTCCATGATTTAGATTACTGATCAAATAAATTAGTTTAATTTGTTGCTATTTTATTAAAACCATGCCCTTAAAATTTACATTAGGAAAATCTCCTAACACTTAAAAACTTTTAAATAAAAATCGGGTAAAATCCTGAAAATTAATCCAAAAATCCCTAACCTACAATCTTTAAATATGAAAACAGAAAACAATGGCAGAACTCAAATGTTAAAACGGTAAACCTTCTAGAAATAAAATAGTTGCAAAAGTGGATCAACTTAAGTAAATATAGCATTCAACATAATAATCACCCATTTCACTCTTTTTAGGTATGAAGATCAAAATGGGAAAACATGCCACCATTTCATCTTCATCAGGGGAGAATCAGATAAATATTTCAACAGGCGAAACCGAATCTGAAATTCTCATTCAATTCAATAACACAAACTCCATCAAAGTTACAATGAAAATTTAGCAGAATCTGAAGGGGGCAAAGATTAACTTGTTGCTGCAAATAGCTCATCCCATTCCCAGTTCTCTCCCAGGCAGGTTGGGTCCATAAAGCATGGAAACCCCCAAAAATTGTGTCAAAGCATGTTGGTGCATCCACAACTCCTCAAGTCACCTCAGCCTTGACATCAATGGAGGAACCAAATGAGCATAAGAGAAGTATTTAGGTCTTTTGCTCCGCGAGAAGAGGAGCCAGGTGCCTTTGCAACTGAAGCAAAAACATTGCAGAACAGATAAGCTAAAGTGTTCCTATATTGCTCTCCTGTATGAAATATGTCAAGCGACAAAAAGAACATGAGCATACAAAGCCCTAAAGCAACAATATACAACAATGAGCCAACGACTGCAGCAACAAACTGGAGTCCATTTGCTGACTTAAATCATAAAATCACAGGGCCAAGGAGCAGCTTAACATTTATTGGTGCAAGAATCCGTAAAGTAAATATGCATGAGAGAAACTAGTCTCAAGAGAATACATAAATCAGCATACCACACCGTCTTGTATGAAATTCAACAACGACATCGGTGCTACCATCAGAAATTTCACCAAGGATAATGTTAGATCCACCACTTATTAACTCTTCAGAAATGCAGCCTATAGGTCCTCAAGCCATGAAGTCATCTGGCAGCGTGAACGGACACTGACTTGACCCAGGATTTACTGTGAGGGATGACTGCCCAGCATTATAGCAGTTCTGGTTACTGTACAATTCATTAGTGTGGATGGGTTCAGATATCCCACAGCTTCAGCAGGGCTATCCAATGGGACATCAAGATCATGCAGCTCCAAAAATGGAGTATTATCACCCAGGAAGCTTTGATTCAGGTAACCATATTCATTGTAACTGGAGGAGAAGTCACATGCACCTTCACTAAGTCTATCAATGTTGTCCAAATCTCCCAAGCCACTGTAAATATCAATGACATCCGAAGGGGGCAAAGCTTCAATGATCTCATTAGGCTGGTGACCAAGATTCTGCAAACCAATTAACAAACCCCATATTACTGAAACGTTGACACCTCCAAAATTTAGACATTGGTAAAACAGCAGCTTAGAAATCAAGAGAAACAAACAACAGAAAGTATTGCAATGTAAACTATGGTTCTGGAGTCCAGTTTCCATTTCATATGATCCCCACAAGTACAAATAAGTTCTGAGAAATATATTTCTTGATATCCATATCAAAACACCACAATGCCAACAACATTGTCAGAGAGTGCTTCGACATTATACAAGGATGGTGAAAACATAAAATTAGGATAGAAGCTCTTCTAAGCAAACAAGACAAGAAGGAAAAAGGAGGGAAACAGTCAATAAAACATTAGCGATTGAGTGTATTAGAAAGATATATCAAACAGTTAAAACTACAAATGAAAAGAGAGAGAGAAGTATGGGAAACTTCCGCAAACAGCTGTCTCAACAATTCGGACAAAACAAATTGACATAGAAAAAGTGGAAAGTTTAGCCAGCTCAGTCATTAACTACAGTATAAGCAGTGATTGACAGATTGCAAATATTTAGTGGCATCCATTTAATATAAATAATTAGAAGGGTGGAGGAGGTTACATACCTCATTTTCACCATTTTCATTTGGAAACAAAGAGCTATCTTCCCTGAACATCGCTAACATTGAAACAATGTCATCCTCAGGGAAAACAGTAGCAACCTCACTAGGTACACCATTATTTTCAGGAGGAGGTGAAGGCACATTATTAGCAGGTGGGATAGCATCTGAAAGACATGATGAGCTAGCAGCCACAGGACTGATTAGGTTAGGCACTGGAATAGAATGGACACCTTCAGACACTAATCCCATACAACTGACATCCTCGTCATCATCCCAGTCTTCCTCTTTAAATGGCGCTCCATATTGAGCACCATTTCTTGGGCCAGGACCATCCTTCTGGAAAACTTTACAGAGCACATACGAATCCTGATTCACAGAAGAAAGTAATGTAATTAGACTCTACTAACAAGAAATCCCTCAACCAGCCTTTTAATACATGGCAATAAAAAGAAAAAACAAATCAATAAAGTATAAAAACATAAGAGAAAGATTAGTAGGACAGTAGAAAACCAAGGTTAAGATCAACAGAACATAAATTAACAGAAATCTGTAGAAGAAATAAAGTCATTATGGTACTTGAAAATGCAAGTTCAGGATAACATAAAGAGGTGTATTTTCTTTCTCAAAGGAAGAATTGATCTGACAAATTGGGTTGATATCTAGTTTCCTCTCAAAGGCATTGAAGACATCATGTAATCTAATAAAAGGTAATAGGGGATAATGAGAGAGAACTAACTAAGAACCACAATTTATAATTAATATTCAATAATATTATATACAAGTTATATACTACATCCAGCAGGGCTTGACCGATCAGCAAAAAGGCAACACAATTAGAAGAGCATTGGATCCTCAACTTGGGTAATCTAGCAACAGGCCTATAGTTATGTGATTAACAAGCAGAGAAAAGAGATAACAAAACACTAATTTAAGTATGAAGTTCACCGAGACACAAAGCAACATCGAAATGATCATCAGCACTTCATGAATGCTTAAAATCACCAAAATACTTCAAAATTCCACTAGATTACACAAGCAACATTCAATGAATACACAGGACATTGGTAAATATAGCAGCCATTGAACAAAATCAGAATCAAGAATTACCTGAACAACACCTCTATTTGCCAGATCCTTCTGCTCAATTCTATACTCATGTATAACCCAATCTGTTCGGTCACCTTTTGGAGCTTTACCCCTATGGAAAACCAGAGTCTTTATCTTTCCAACAGTTTCATTATTGTAATAAACAGTTCTATCCTTTCCTGTGATCTTCCAAAATCCAAACTCAGTAGCACGATTTACTCTAGCTCCACTACCATATTTCTTTTCTCGTGGGCAAAGGAAATACCATTTCAAGTCCCCAGTTCTCAAATTAGATTTTGCTGAAAATAAGAAAACAGAAGGAAAACAATTCAGAAACAAGTATAAACTTAATGAATTGTGTAGACTTTAGAATACCATGGCCAAAAAAAAAAAAACAAAGACATTGTGTTATCTACCTGGAAGATCCCATGGAGCGCACTTGTATATATCAACCTCAGCAATAGCATCAAAATCGAATTTCCTACCCATTACTTTCCTCTTCAAATAGTACATGACAAGTTCAACATCAGTGGGATGAAACCGAAATCCCGGAGGCAGTGATGTCTTCCCCATAGTGAAATTCAAAAGGGAGTCTCACTATGCAATAACTTCCAATAATTGTTCACAAGTCGTGAATAATGTATTTTTGTAGATCTTGTTTCTTAATTTCTTAACTAGCAGGTAAGATATTGATGAACTAATTTTCTTTTTTCCTTTTGCTCGATCAATCAAATAGCCAATGTGTAAATACTAAATTAACAAATACAAATTAGAAGAAACTGACTCAACACAAAAAGTTGTCAAGTCCAGTGCCGAAATAAGAAATTGCGCGAACACCACAGCCTCCCCCGGCTCATAAATCCAAAAGCACACCGTAGAAATGATGTAACTTTCTTGCTGAGATCAAAAGACATTTGGTGTGCAATGCAGATCCTGTTTTAAACATTATTAGTTTCACAATCCAAATTAAAAAAAAATAAAACAAAACAAACCCAAATACAGAAACCTCGGATAATTAGTAAATGTATTCTTTTCCACTGAATCAAAATAACAAAGAAATTGTCGAAATCAAACCAAGCCAGATAAATAAACCTCAAAGAAATCAAAATTTCGATTTTTTATTACTTGTAAATAAGAAAAACAAAAGAAAAAAAATCCAAACAAAACAGAAATAACAACAATACAAAAATTTAAGGACAACACCCTATAAAATCCCTAAAATTTAAAAGTCTAAAACACACATAAACCACGAATAATTCATAATATTGATGAAATTTTTTTTTTCACTTACCTTTATCCAAAAACAGCACAATAAATCAAAACAACAAAAAAATTGTAAAAATTAAACCAAACCCAGATACAGGATCTACTTATTGATTCTTTTTCACTTATATTTACACATAAACAGAACAATAAATCCAATCAAAACAGAGTTAATAACGATAAGCAAATTGAAATTGAAAACCCAAACTCTAAATCAAGAAACCTACAAAACTCAATCACGAAAAATTGAAAAAACGAAACCCTAAAAAAAAAAAAAAGGAAAACCCACAAAAAAGAAGCCAAAATACAAAAACCTAAAAGAACAACAAATATATAAAAGAAATTAAGAGAAATTTGAGAGAAAAATCCTACCGAGAGAGAGAGCGCGGGGAGAGGAGTGTTGAGAGAGCGAGCAGAGAGAGAACGCGAGTCGAGACTGAGAGAGAGCTGAATAGCGAGAGAAAGAGACCTGGAATGAACCGCAAGCGAATTGTGAGCATTTATAGAGGAAACAGAAAACTAATTGGGTTACTTTGTAAAAATGTAAGAATGTAAACTTTCAACTCCCCAATTTCTAAGAAAGTTATAGTAATCTGCCATAATAATTCCTTTTTTCTTCTCTTTTTTTTTTTCTAAATTCGGAAAAATATAAGCAGTGAATATTTAAAAAATATTTTATAAATCTTATAAATGTTGTTTAGAACTTTTATTCATAATTTTTCAAAGTAATTTTAATATGATTATTATTGTAAGTGGTGAAATTGGTAGTAGTGATAAACATTGGGAAGCGTTTTGATATTTTTGAAACTATAAGGGTTAATTTTTTTTTAACTTTAGGGGATTGTAATGATATTATACTTTTATTTTGAAAAGTCTTCGGTTGCTAACTTCTCTAGGAATCCTTGGCATCTGATTGGTTGTATGGCTTCACTAATTTATTTTTTAATTAACATTATTTTAATATTTGGGTAAAGAACAAAACCCAACTATTTATGACGTATCAGTGACACGTCAGATTATCAGGCACATGATGCAATTCCAAAATTTAATATATTCTTTTCACATTGATTTTGATCTTTTTACGGTGATATATTTTTTTATTATTATTGTTTTGAAATCTAGAAGCACCTTAGATTGTACTAAGGTTGAGTTTGGCTTGGCTGGGGTTTATCTATGCGTGACCACGGATAGCAGATAGAACCAGAATCAGAATTGAAACTTACCTAGAATCAATACTGTGCATGAAGGTTTCAGTTCCATTTTTTTGGAATCGATACTGTGTATTTCCGATTTCAGTTCTTACATGTGGAGAAACCGGAACCAAAACCAGAACCTGGAAAAAAGAATTTGTAGTGAGTATCCGACTTGGAACCTGCAGTTGGTACCTTGTTTTGGAACCTGGGCTAAAAAATATCTGCAAAGAATAAGGGGCTTATTGTAATTTTACATATAAAAAAAATTTTAAATGGAAAAAGTTAAATTTTTACAATAACCTAATTAAAGAAATATACAATTATACTTATTATATATAAATTATACCATATAAAAAACTTTAATATATTAATATTAAAGTTTTGATTAATTAAGTGTATAATTAGAATTATGACCAATTAAAAGTGTTTGAATGTTAATAAAAGAATTATTTTCGAATAAAATAGTATATTTGATTGAATCATAATATAATATTTAGTTATTTACTTCAATTATCAAGTTTTAAGTATATCATTACATTATAGTTAAATGATTACTTAATTAATTATAAGTTTATAACATTACATTAGTGATTTAGTTGCAGAATAACGATCAATATAATATTTAGTTTAAATTAAATATTTAGTTCATCACTAATGGTCACTAATTACATTAGTGACCATTAGTAGACTGCTATACTCACATTACATTAGTGATGAACATTCATCAACTTCACCAACTTTAGGAAATTCTACATCAACTTTAACATCAACTTCAACACCCCTTTATTCACAAAAATATGTTAAACCATTTTTTGAACCCTTTGACATTCCAAAAGAGGAAATTATTAAATTTAATAATCACAACACTATTCTAGAAAATATTAGTAAAAAACTTAGTGAATTATCATCNTGTTTTATTATAGGGGGTATTTTGTAAAAAAACAAACATAAAGGGTATTTTATAATTTATAAATTCTACATCGTAATACCCGCCCAATTCAACTTTTTTTTAACTTTTTTCAAAAAACTTTTCCCAAAACCCCCAAATTTTGAACCAAACGGAGCCCGGATTTTACATTCGAGTATCTAGTAACCGAACTAAAAATTCGAGTACTCACATATTCAGGTATTGCATAAACCGGTTCGATTACCGGGTACCATTTTTACACTATCCGAATATTCGGGTCAAGTAGTAAAAGGGCACATTCGGATTGGATACCCGGTTTTGTCCTCCCCAAGGTCAGAAACGGTAACATCCATTCTAGGCATTAATGATCGTGGATCTGGCTGAAAATGGTCAAATCTGTGGACCTTTTGTGTTCATTAACTTCGGGGGGCTCTTAGATATTTTTCTTCTGTTGACTATCCAAAAGAAATAACTCTTCTAAAATCCATTATAAACCTCTAACATGACACCGCTTCAAATACATCAAAACCCTTTCCATGATTTAGATTACTGATCAAANTTGATTTTTTAATTAAATATAATAAATAAAATGTAATATTTTGATTATTCATCCCTTTTTTTTAAATGCTAACCTAATTTTCCCAATTTCTATTATTGTTCAAAGCAAAAGTCTTTTTTTTTTTTTTTGTCTCCTAATTATCATATTATAATTCAATATAGGCAATATTGTTTTTATAATTTTTAATATATAAATTTATAAAATTCAATTGTAAAATGTGATATTGTTATGCTTTATTAATATTTGTATATGTGTTTCAACGAATCGACGATGAAACTTTAGTGGGAGCACGAATTACATTTTATACACAGCATTAAATTTGAGAATGAGACTTTGATATTGAATTTTCTTATATTTTTAATACTGTAAACAAATAATAATAATAATAATAATAATAACAATGTGTTAATTTATATGATAATGAAGTTTTATACTGTTAGGGTCAAAAATCGTCTTGGGCTTGACGAGGCCCAATAACGAAATAAACATGTCACGGCCTAAGGCTTCAACCCAATCTCGATTGAGCCTATGCTTAAAATCACCTTGTGAACTACCCACTCTATGAGTTGGGCTATTCTATAAGTTAAGCTAAACTGGGTTTCAGCCCATTAGCCTACAACAGTCTATAAATAGGAAATTAGAATATCATTCTATTTACTCTTCTACTAAGATTCCAAATCTTACTCAAACTATTAAACTTGATCTGATAAGGTAAAGAAATCATATCTCTTTCATGATAGGGATTATCTCCCAAAATAGGACTTAGTGTCCTACTAAAATTCCAAATCTTATTTAAACTATTAAACTTAATCTCAATAAATTATATTTCTTTCAGGATAGAGATTATCTCCCAAAATAGGACTTAGTATCCTACTAAGATTCCAAATCTTATTTAAACTATTAAACTTAATTTGATAAGGTCAGTAAATCATATCTCTTTCATAATAGAGATTATCTCCCAAAATAAGACTTAGTGTGCTACTAAGATTCTAACCTGTTGGGTTCACTATAAAAATAGAGGTTTGCCCTCTCATTAGGCATGTAATCTCCCATAGTCAATCTACACTACTCAAAACCATCTATTTGCTCCTAAAGTTCTTGTTCCCAAAAACCTGACGCCTCCGTTGTAGTTCTAGCTTTCGACAAGACTCGTGGTAATTATTAATCTCCTTAATTCTTATCAAATAATCTCCTTTAGCCTCGCTGACTTGAACGTCGAAGTGCCTACAACAAACACCACTCCAATCTTTTCTGGAAGCTTCACGCTTGCCCTTTCATATGTGCAGGTCTAACGGATTGTTAGTAGCTTCAACCTCATGGGATCAGACTTTATTTTCATGACGGTAGATTTTTTATATCTACATAAACATTTTAATAGTTATATGTTTAGGTGTATAGTTTAGTATTATAGTATAAAATTATTTATCAAAATTCAATCATATTATATTTCATTGTTTAACTTTAAATAGAAAAATAAAAATAAAAATTCGGTAACACGATAAAAATAACATTTGGGTTCTGATTTTCATATTTAAACCCAATAAGCTAAAAGGTCGGGTTTAGTTTAAGGAATTTTTGGTATGACACGTATGCAGCACGACAAGAAATCTATCCAACACGACCCATTGCGAGGTCTAGTTCTATTATCATTTTTGTTTCTTGAAAATAGAAAACAAGGAGAAAAAGAGAATGCTTCGATAACCAACTAAAGAATTGTAAATACACAAAACATAAAAAAAGTTGTTTTCTATATTATCATACTCTAATTATAATAATATTTCATATTTATAAAAAAGAACCCTTTTAGAATTCATTTTTGAAAACAAAAACACTAAAAATGATAATCAATTTTTTGAAGGAAGGCAAAATTGTTTAGCCCATTGTAAACCCTTGTGTGTTCTTTTTTTCTGCCAAAAAATGTGACGATTTTTATTGGACTCTAAAGAATTTCAATTTTGATATAAAACATGCATTTTATATGCAACTTGTTCTATTATCCATTGAACTGACAATCTCAACTAAATATGAAGCAGAAAACAAGGCTGAAGAGAATAGATAGTGAGAGATTCATCTCTTTATTAGCTCATCAGAAATGCAGCCAGCAGGTCATGAGGTGTGTAGTTCTTAGGCAGCAGGGAAGGATCTACTGTGAAGCATGATTCATCAATGTTGATGAATTCAGGTTCCCCCGGATCAGCAAGGCCATTCAATGGGTAGTCGAGATCTCGCAACTCCACAAAGACAGCACCATTGTCACACGGGAAGCTCTGATTCAGGTGATTGTCTTCACTGTTACTTAAGGAGAAATCGCATGCGCCTTCAATGAGTTTACCGCAGTTGCCCAGGTCTCCCAAGTTGTTGTAGATATCGATGCCAGCTGAACGGGGTGCAGCTTCGATGTCTGCAGTGTGCTCGTTACCGAGAGTCTGCAAATTGATCAAGAAAACATATATATTACGGTAATGCTAACACTTCACGAGTAAAAACAGCAGCTCAGAAATTGTTCTCGAGTCCAGAGTCCAATTGCCATTTAACATTTATGAAATATATTTCTCAATTTCCGTATAAAAATTCCACAATGCCTGGCAACGCTAGGCAAGGCGTTGACATGATACAGGGATGGTGAAAACATAGAAAGCAGAGAAAGGAAAAAGAGAGTAATTTTTAGAAAAACGTTTACGGAAAAGATATATCGACAGTAAGGAGTAAATTGGAAACAGATGGAAACCGAAGAGAACAAAAGGAAAGGGGACAAGGGGAAATTATGCTGAACGCTTAGATGCACTCAATTTAGAAAACTAAAGAAAGATGGATTATTTGCGAGAGAGAAGAAAAAAAAATACAGAGAAGGAAGCTGGGAAAAAACCTGAAACACATCAGAAAGCAGTAAAAATTTACTACTTCGTCATTTAACTTCAAGTTCAACCACATTACCCAATAAATAAATCACAGATATTAGCAAGAGGGTCCCAGGACATTAAGTTGCTCAAACATATATCGATATAGATAAATGCTACATTACAAGTTCAGTTGGCACTACATCATAAGACCAACAAAAGAGCAAAAATGGCAAGTTAAATGGTAACGACAGGTTAACTCAACAGGACAATCAGATTTAAATCTACTAATATACGAGACAAGGTTACCAAGCAACATTTCGACAGTTCGGGAAAAAAACAAAATTAACATGGAAAAAGTAAAAAAGTTTAGACAGCTTAGTCATTGGATCAGCAACTACATTATGAGCAGTGACTGAAAGGAGCAAATATTAAATGGCTTTATCCACTTCATAATTATAAAGAGTAGAGCATGTTACACACCTCAGTTTGACTGTTTTCATTCGAAACTGAACGGCTACTTGTCTTTGAAACCGCATTATTCTCTTGTGAAACAGGAGTAACCTTGACAGAGACACCATTATTTTCATGAATTTGTGCAGGCACATTTTCAACAGAAGGGTTAGCATCTGAAAGACACGATATGCTAGTGGCTAGTGGCCTGATCTGATTAGGCATTGGAACAGAGTGGTCACCAGAGGACACAACATCCATAAAATCGACATCCTCCTCATCATCCCAGTCTTCCTCCTTAAATGGTGCTCCATATTGAGCACAATTTCTTGGGCCAGGACCATCCTTCTGGAAAACTATACACAGCACATATGCATCCTGACACACAAGGAAGTCAACAAATTAAAATCCAGCAACAAGAAGTCCAACCACCAGCCTTTAATATAAAACAATAAAAAGGAAAGCAAAAACAATAAAAGTATAAGCACGTAAAGATAAAGATCGTTAGATATTAGAAAACCAAGGTACAGGCCAACGGAACATAATTAACACAAATCTGTAGCACAAATAAAGTCACGCTGGTACTTGAACATGCAACTTCAGAATAACACAGAGTAGCAGATAAAACTTATTTTTTTTTAAACTAGAAGCAAGGGCCCAACAAAAAGGGTAGATATCATGTTTCCTTCCAAGGATATCAAAGACATCAAATAATCTAATAGAAGGCAATGAGGCTATGAGAGACAGCGAGAGAAAACTCTCCAAAAGCCACATTCTTTTAATTTAATAGTCAATGCAGTATAAACAGATTGTAACTGAAGTCCAGGTACTAATCAGCAACCAGACACCACAATTAGAAGAACATTGAATCCTCAGCTTAGGTAATGTACCAAAAATCAGTTAGATGTTTAACAAGTAGAGAAGACAAGATAACACTACTTCAAGCAAAAATTTAAAGAATACACTCAGCAATATTGAAATGATCATAAGGCCTTAATTAATACTTATAACCAGCAAAACATTAATCAACTGGACTATGGCAGCCACATTAAATTAAAATGAGGACCATTGGTATTAGCTGTTTGTGTAAGCAAATATTTGAGGCTATTGAAAAAATGTTAGAATCAAGGATTACCTGCGCAACACCTCTGTCAGCCAGATCTTTCTCTTCAATTCTGTACTCATGCATAACCCAATCTGTCCGGTCACCTCGCGGAGCTTTACCTCTGTGGAAAACCAGAGTCTTTATCATCCCCACAGTTTCGTTTTTGTAACGAACAGCTCTATCCTTTCCTGTGGTCTTCCAATACCCAAACTCAGTAGCACGATTCTGTCTAGCCCCACTCGCATATTTCTTCTCTCGTGGGCAGAAGAAATACCATTTCAAGTCCCCGTTTCTCAAACTAGATCTCGCTGAAAAATAAGAGAACAGAAGAAAAAAAGAATGAGAAATCAGTGAGTACAATCTCACTCACCAATTATGCACACTTCAAGAATACAATAGAAAAGAAACAGGTTATTGATAAAAAAGAAGACATTGTGCTATATACCTGGAAGATCCCAAGGAGCATACTTGTATATGTCAACCTCAGCGACAGCATCAAAATTGAATTTCCTTCCCATTACTTTCCTCTTCAAATAGAACTTGATAAGTTCAACATCAGTAGGATGAAACCGAAATCCAGGAGGTAATTTTGTCTTCCCCATAGAGAAACTCAAANCATAAGCTCTGAATCGTCATTGAGGCAAGTTGGAAGAGGCTGAACTAGGATGGAATTATAGGGAATCTTTTTTAGCTGAGAAACATGAAAAACAAGATGGATCTTGGAAGACTCAGGCAATGCTAGGCGATACGCAACTTCACCTACCTTGATCAGAACTTTAAAAGGACCATAAAAGCGTGGGTTGAGTTTTCATTGAGCTTTAAAGCCAAGGATCTGAATTTATAAGGCTGAAGTTTTAAGTAAACGAAGTCACTTGGTTCAAAAGAGACATCTCGATGGTGAGAATTAGCATAGACTTTCATGTGATCTTAAGTTGTAGATAAATTGGATTTAAGTTCATCTAACAAGGCATTCCGTTGAAGCATTTGCTGATTAATTTCTTCCACAGCAGAGTGTACCTTAGTAAACTTCAAGAGAATAGGAGGTGCACAACCATAGAGAGCCTTGAAAGGTGACATTTTGGTGGAGCTCTGGTGGGAGGTCTTAAACCAAAATTCAACCTAGTGTACCTTATTGCTTTGGTTTGTTGCTTGTGAAACACCAGAGATATGTCTCAATACAGCGATTAACCACTTCCGTTTGCCTATTAGTTTAGGGGTGGTATGTTGAACTAAATTTGATAGTAGTGCCAACTAAATGAAAGAGTTCAGTCCAAAAGTTACTCAAAAAAAGTCGATCACAGATAGAAAAAATAGACTTGAGAAAACCATGCAATCTAACCACTTCCTTCACAAAAAGGGCAGTCACTTCCTTCGCATTGTAAGGGTGGCAAAGCAACATAAAATGGCTACATTTTGTTAATCGATCCACCACCACAAACATAGTGTCAAACCTAAGGCTCTCCGGAAGGCCACCAATAAAATCCATGGAGAGGTCATAGAAAGCCAAGTCTAGGATTGGCAAGGGCAACAATCTTGTAGGTTTCAGTGATAAATGTTTGTTCTATTGGCAAATACCACAAGAGTTCACAAAATTCTTGATATCCTGTCTAATTCCTTCCCAAAAGAACCCTAAATGGCCACTGCTATCCTCTAGCAGTTGTCGTATAAACCGGGAACTTTTAGGGAGTACAAGCCTGCCTTTATATAAAAGACAACCACAATGTAGGGTATAGTGGGTTTTAGAATTGAGTTGTAAAAGAAGATTATGAATAATCAACTTAAATTTGTTAACCTACAATGCTTCGACTACCAAGTCTTCATACCCCTGAAATATTGCTGTAGAGAAAGCATTAAGCTCAAGTCCTAACTCCCGTCTAGAAAGTACATCAACCACTATTTGTACCCCAAAAGTTTAGAAATCCATTTATGATGTTTTGGTGTGATTGTCCTCTGCCCCATAAAAAATTGGAGACTTCTCTGATCAAAGTCTTTATGATAAACTTCTTTCCAATCAAGTAGTGGCTCCATTTGTACACAACGAATACAATGGCCATTAGTTCCCTCTCATAGACAGATTTTTGTTTAGAAGAAAAAGAAAATGCTTTACTGAGAAATACAATAGGTAACCCTTGTTGCACCAAAATAGCTCCAATGCTGAGACCTGAGGCATCAATCTGGACTTCAAAAGGTTAGGCAAAATTGGGAGTGGCTAACATTGGAACTGAAACCATTGCTCTCTGTAAACTTTCAAAAGCTTGTTGTGCTTCCTTGGACCACTTGAAATAATCTTTCTTCAATAGTTGGGTTAATGGTTGAGCAATTTGGCCATAGTCGTTAATGAATTTTCGATAATATCCTGTGAGGCGTAAGAAACCCTGTAAACTCTTCACTGTAGTGGGAACATGCCAGGAAAGCATACAATCTACCTTCGCAAGATCAGCTTCAACACCGTTTTCTAAGGTGATGTGTCATAAATACTCTAGTTTTGCTTGAGCAAGTTGACACTTTTTTTTTTTATTAACCAACTTGTGCTCCTATAGGATTTGAAAAACCTGTCTTAGATGCATCAGGTGAGCAAATATGTCAGTATTGTAAATCAATATGTCGTAAAAAAAACCAAGATAATCTTGCAAAGGCAAGGCTTGGAAATTTCATTCATCAATGCTTGAAAGGTAGAGGGGGCATACGTCAACCCAAATGGCATTACTAAAAATTCGTAATGTCCTTCGTGAGTCAAAAAAGTTGTTTTAAGGACACCTTCATCACGAACCTTGATCTAGTGATAACTTGACTTGAGGTCTAGTTTAGAAAATATTACGACTTCTCCCAGTTCATCTAGCAACTCATTTATGGTTGGAATGAGGAATTTATCGGGTATAGTAATGTTGTTCAATGCTCTATAATCTACACAAAGCATCAACTACCATATTTTTTTCTAACTAGTAACACTAGACTCGAAAAAGGACTAATACTAGGCTGAATTATCCCTACTGTTAACATCTCACCCATAAGCCTTTCAATTTCATTTTTTTGAGCATAGGAATATCTATATGGTCTGATATTTGGGGTTTGGGCGCCATTTTTCATGGTAATAGGGTGGTCCTATCTACAATAAGGGGGAAGACCAATAGGTTGATCAGAGATCGGTGCAAATTCGGCTAGCAAGGAATCCACTCTCGGGTCTAGAGAGACTACCTCATCTTTGATGCTTTCATCGTAAGAGATTTCCAATTAGCACACACATCTCTAATAATCCGTGGATTATACCATTTTTATAAGAATTTTTAGTTGGATTTCAGGTACTTTCTAGTTCATTTTTGACCTGAATTGTTGTCTAATTCTTTACATTTCATGTTTTAGGTTAAAATGGACATTTTGAGCAAATAAGGACAAAATTGAAAATTTTGGACTCAAAAGTAAGCGGATCTCAGAAGTTGGGAGAGTTCTGAAGCAAAATAAAGTACTATGAAGCTTGTTTACAAGGGAGAGCACCAAAGATCGAAGAATCAAGCGAAGATACAAGCAAAGGGGCAATTCTGTAATTTTAAAATTTTTCAAGAAGCTTCGTGGCGGCGAAGATTTGTTCTTCGCTGCGGCGAAATGCGCCAGTCACGAATCATATCTGCTTCTTTCTTCACCACGGCGAGATTTCTTCTTCGCTGTGGCAACGACCGAAATTTCTAGTTTTGTAAAACGCACAGCTTTACTTTTGCGGATTTTTCTTAGGAATTTGGGCAAGGTATAAAAGAAACACTTAGCCTTTTTGCAAAGGGTCGTTCAGAAAGTAGGGTTAGCAGCTTTTACATTTTCTTAGTTTCATTTTGAGCGTTTTTGGAGATTGAACAAGGGTGAAGATTCGATTTTGAACCAGGAGATTCATCATTTGGGGAGATTTCTTATCTTTTCTTTTATTTTCATTATGTTAAACTTTAGTATTTTCATTTATTTCATTTGTGTTGTTGATTTAGCCATGAACTAACCCAAGAGCACAAATAAAATCCTAATATATTAAGCCCTTGCTATCATAATAAGTAATTTTGTGATTTTTTTATTGTTATATGCTCCTAGATTATCATTTGCGTCTTAAACTCATTCTTTACCCCTGGAAATTATCATTTGCCCCTTAAAAAAATATCACAAATCCCTCCTAATAAAGGGTAATTGATACATTCAGATAAGTGCGAGATGCATTCTAAATTTTACTATATCTAAGAGAGCATAATAATAGGGTAGAACCGGAACCAGTGACTACCCGGGGTTCCTGTCCCTACCCAACATCGACCGTCATAGGGTCGGTTTCGATTCTCAAAAACTGGAACCGATATTATGTGGTTCCAGTTCTAAAAAATCGGAATCGGTACTATGTGCTTCCGATTCCCGTTCCACCACTTCAAGAACTAGAACCGAAATCGGGAATCGGTACTGGAACTGAGATACAGGTACCTGGATAGGAATCGAGATTAAAATATAATTTTTGTAAACTATTAGGAGTGTATTTATAATTTTTAGAGGGTATATTTGTAATTTTTCAAAAGACGGGGTAATTAAATTATCACAGATACCCGAAACCGGAACCTATGTTTCAGGTTTCAACTCCGGTTCCTTTGAATATATATTTGATCATATCATGGTTGAATATGGTTTGCATCACTTGATAATCTTAAATGCAAGACGAATATATTTACATAGTTATCATTTTAAACTAAGCTCCATAATATTAACTGCTGTTTAGTTCATTTTTTCGTTCATCTAAATTGCCAAGGATACTATTTTATCGTTCATTTTTTCGTTCATCTAAATTGCCAAGGATACTATTTTATCATAACTTCAGTGATAATATCTTTTGTTACTATAATATTGATAACCAATGTCTGATAATATCATTTGTTACTATAATATTGATAATTAATGTCATAATTTCAAGAGAACTTTGACATTCAACACTTAACACTTAACCAAACAAAGCAGTAAATCACAATCAAAATTCAAGAACAAGAGAGATCAACTTATATGAAGTGAATACTATATTACGTATTTGTAAGACTGATACAACAATCTATTGAAAAGCAAAGAAAGTAAACGATAATTAATTTAAAGATAGCCTAGCAATTCGAGGAGCTAGTGACATTCCTTCAGATTGCTATAACAATCTATTAAAAAGCAAAGAAAGTAAACAATAATGAATTTAAAGATAGCCTAGCAATTCAAGGAGCTAGTGACCTCCCTTCCACAATCCCACTAAAATGTTCTCTGGCCTTTTACAAATCATATTTTTATATTTGTACCCCAAAACGTCACGCACAATCCATTGTCATTGCCGCTTGGATAAGCAACTTCCCCACATGCAACTCCACACTACTTAGCCCTTTTTTTCCTTTTGTAAGTATGAGTTGGGGTCCTATCAATACCCCCCCACCCATGAGTGCCACCTTGTCCTCAAGGTGAAAAAGAGGGTATTGAAGATTGATGACATCAAAGGATTCCTATGTGGCCTCAGAGGGAGGTAAGTCTTTCTAATGAATCAAAACTTCTAAAGATGAGCCATCCAACAGGGTGTGAACGGAATGCATTGAGGTAGGTTGGACCATAAGCTGTAAATCTT